AAATGAACCTTCAAACTTCAAGAAAGCTGTCCAAACAGGATCTGGTAAGTTACCAGAAATTAATCCATCTCAAATTACCTTTCATTATTTTACAAAACCTCTTTACCTTCTTATTTGCGAAATGGAAACTTCATGGATCCATCGATATTCATCCCTTGATGAATGTATTCAAGATTTTTTACCTCGAGACTTCCATTTCTTACCCAAAAATATCAAACAAATCAAGAGAATACTAAGAAGCTATTCTCGTCAAAACAAGATCAGCCATCATTACTCATACACCAAATCGTCAAAAACAAAATTACATTGATTTCTCAAAAATTTCTATTCAAAATGTGTGGTCTTATGAAGACAGGGGGACCAACCCATGGATTCAGAAGAAAATGAATCTCTCAAAAAATGCTTCATTTAAATCCCGTTTCAATTATTTTGACTACATTGATACTAGGTCTAATGTCTTTTTCTTTAGACCAGTTTCGCATTCCTAGTTTATTCTCTTTGACAATATATTTTTATTGAAAAATGTATGATTGAAAATAATTAAAATAATAAGAATGAAAATTTTAATGTGGTTCAAACAGGAGCTTTGGCCCGACAAAATCCCTCCCAAACAATTGATCTATGCGTGCTTTGGACTCTCGCGAGAAGCGCGTGGCTATAGCACAATTTAACCGCGTGGTCAGACCAAGGAATGATTATCTAAAAGGTCTTACTATGCGTACACCCCCTCTGCACGGTGACTGCGTGTATCGTCGGGAAGCAAGAGGGGTCGATCAGTTCAGGTGACGTCTGACGGTGGTTCGTTCATCCTTTGAGCTGAGCATTAATTTTTTTATTTTTTATTTTTTTCAAAAGAAGCAATCAATTTGTACTTTAACATCGTACAACTAGCTGTTGGTGTTGGTGTTTGGTGGTAGCTGTGACGTGAAATTTCAATTAAAAATGCTGGAAAACCCGAGCATGGATTCAGCAGCCACCACTGCCAATGTTGCCAACGTCAAGCGCTACGCTCCTCCCAACCAGCGGTAACACAGAATTTTCTGCTTATCCCTCTCGGCGAGCGTGTGATGTTCTTTTATTTTTTATTTGTGAAAATTATGTGAATAATGATATGATTTATTGGGTTGGGGTTCTGTACACCTGATCATTTGTTGCTTGCGTGCAGGAACCGATCACTCGGAAGACGTAAATCTGGAGGAGGTAAGTTGAGTCTGAGCAATAATTAGGTTTCAATATTTTGCTATATTGAGATGCTATTGCCGATTGCTTCTCCTTTCTATTTCAAGCTGGTATATGCTTCTGATTTTTATTTTTTCCCTTTCATCGATAATTTGAACTTAATAATGGTTCAATTCATTTCAACCATATGCATATAGTAGTATATGAAGAAAAGATTCAACTGCAAAAGTAGTTGTTTGTCTTTTTATTTATTTATCTATTTTTTTTTTCTTTTCTTTGTCCCTTTATTTGGGTGCTGGAGTTTCTACAGGAAGATATTTAAAAATGGACATTAAGAGAAAGGATACCTTTATAGAGTGATCTTCTGGTCTCCGATCTTTTATATAAACTTTTGAATTTAAGATCCATTTTGTTTGGTGTGAAAATGAATTTCTAGACTTTCTCATCAATGCTCCTTTTCCTGTAGATTCATGGTCTGAATACCTGTTCCTAGCTACTAATTTTTGTATAAATTTATCTGTTGGGTTTAAAATGCCCAAATAATGCACAAAGAAGAAAAACACACCCAAGAACGCACACCACAGAAATCGAAATTAACACAAAAAATGTTAACACAGTTCAGCTATGCCTAATTTGGGGGGCTCAGCTACTGACCCAATTCACTAGTGCACTAAGAATGTCTTCCAGAGAGAGTTAACATGAACCAAATATCAGATCGTACGAGTTTTAGTCATCGGTCCAAAGATCTCCTAAAACTTCAACCCAAAAACCAAACCCTAACACGCTATACACTGTATACAAAACCTAATCAACACAGCCAACAATCGACCCAAGGTTACTGATACAATAGCGATTTACACATGGATTTCACATATCTTTTCAAGATCTAAAAACGTCAACTAAGAGAAAATAAGAAGAGACTCTAGAGAGAACGGAGAACTCCAGAATCAAAACCAACAGACCGAATGAAAGTGAAAGTCCAAAAGTCATTAGCCATCACGTTAAAAAGCCAACTAAAGATCACAACCATTGATTAAATCGGACGGCTCACAATCCATGTGAAGAAGCACAATCCTGGAATTAACAATTCAGCCAATTGAAAGTAGCCACGTGGACATACAACTTAAAGAGTTGTAATTTTGGAAACACTTTTTTTTTCTTTCATTATCAATTGCTGCATGCCTTGCAGACATCTAGAAAAAATTGGTGTTGATGATCCACATAGCAGCTTTTGTCTCTCATTGATCTAAACACATTTCCCTGTGTCTTATGAACTGGGAAGAAGATACTGGAATTTTGTTCACATCAGGGCTAAAAAGTTCTCTAAGCCAAGTTGGGATGATAAAGTCATAACCTAGATGATCCTATTTAATTCTATGGCTGAGTCTCAAGACCATTCAGAGAACTAGGTGCACAAGAATCCCATGAGGAGGCTCAATCCAATCAAATCCTATTGTATTAAGAGATGTACCTTATCTAGAATCCTTGTAGCCATAAGCTAAATACTTAACTAATTCAATTAACTGGAGCCGCAAAGATGAGGAAAATTAAACAAAATTGCCTTGGACTGCCCGAAAATACCTCAATTGCACTATATTTTGAAGTAGAAGTTTTATACTAGTGTGTAAGATTAGCACAGCATGATCATGTTGAGACACAAATTTCTGTAAAGGTTTTTATTACGGTTTAGTGCGTGAGGAGAGCTAAATTTAGTTTTTGCCTTTCTCTGAAATGCTTTCTACATGCCTAAGGCTCCCAAACTTTCCTGTGGTATGCTGACAAGTCTGATTGAATGTCACTTGCCATTCTCTTATTGCCGTTGGAACTTGGTATATGAACCATTTGATCCCAGTTTCCTTACACCCAGTTCCAAACATGTCTCCTTTACCAAGATTCCCTTGATTGTGTCTATAAATGATTTGTTGCTAGTAAATGATTGGGAAGTTGAAGAGTAGAACTATAAGCAATGATTCTCAAAGCATTTTGACTATTTGTTAATTAATATTTTTGCCCCCAATTTTGACCAGAGAGATACTTTTTAATTGTTGGCTAGTAATTTTTGATGCATCGTCATGTCAAACTGATGCTGCTATGTGCTCTGCCTTTTAAGAGGTACCTTATTTTCTCTCATTCAATTTTTACCACAATGGTTAGTTTAAACTAACATCCCAATAAATGTTTTCTGAATTCTGAGATCTCCTTTTTTTCTTCATAAAACAGTTATTAGATAGTAGAAATTAATAGCCCTATAACGTTTTTCAAATCTTGTTGAGAGACCTAAAGCAAGTTTAAGAGATTACTTCTCATCATCTCCCTCTCTGCCATTTACAGTGATTTATTCTCAACTCTTGTGTAGTGTACTAATTCAAAGTAAAAATTTAGATCCTTTTGTTATGTGGCGAGAGGATTGTTTAAGATGGTCTCATCTAGGAATTTTCCTTTCAAAGGGAATTTATTTGAGTCAACGATTATTCTCTTTTGAGACAGCCAAGTAGAATTAGGAAAAACCTTTAAACCAAATGTATCAGGGAAAAGAAAAGGATGACTTAAATGATCATAATTTAAAGCAATTTAATGTGGAAGATAATAAAATTGTGGCTGCCCTTTTTGAAAGGAATATAAAATAATTCAGTAATCATCTTTCCATCACTGATATTTTTAAATCTCAAAAATTGGACTGCTATTGAGAGAAGCAGAGATACAGAGATCTTGTCCCCCCCACCGCTGACTATGTTAAAAATTTCAGTAATAATAGATGCAATGCAATGCAATAACATAAATTGATGGAAAAGGATATAAGGTTATCTCAATCTAACATTGGAACATCTCATGAGTTTTAAAGATGGAAGCGAAGTACAGTATTAAAATAATAAAATATTTAGAGTGTGTTTGATGTATATTAAAATGAGAGAATGCATTTTTTTGAAGTGATGTGATGGGGATATGTGGTTGAAAAATAAGAAAAGTTATTGATGTGATGAAAAATATTATTTTATTAAAAAATATGTGGTTGAAAATGAGTATAAGAATGATAATGAAAAAAATAATGTGGCTCAAACAGGGGCTTTGTTTCCTTTCTGACACATAAATGATGAGTGGGTGTTTTGTGTATGACATGCGTGATGCAAGAAACAGGATTATCTGGTGCCTTCCAACATAAAGCATATTTTATCAATTGTTTCCACAAGTTCGTACCTACTATATTTACTATTTTTGTTGTTTTTTCTGATGAGTAAATTTTGTAGATCGACTAGAACGGGCAAACAGTTACTCTAATGATGGAGAGAAGAACACAGTTGGCACCTTAAGAAGTATTCCCATGGCAGATCATGGGGATGCTGGTGGCAACAATCGAACAAATGAGAATCCTCGTTCTAAGTTAATACCTTTACGTGGGTGTTGCAACAGTGAAGCTCTTCGGCTCTTGAATGACCGTATGTTTTGCTTTCTCGCTTCCTGGATTACATTGTAACTTTAGTCATTTGCCCTTGTAATGCATTGTCATTTCTTAATTTTGAGCGCATTCAATCACTGTCATTGAAATATATGCAATAGCTACACCTAATGAATGTTTTTGTTAATGGACTAGTTAACCTTGCTTTTGCTGCTTATTGAAGCTATTTTTCATCCCCATCTCTGTGAGTCTAATAGGAAAATTAGATTTTGACATTATGTAGATTATTTGCTCTTTTAAATTGCTGAAATTGCTGCAGTGATTACTTTAGGACATGTTTGTCTGTTTGTCCTTGAAATATAGTAATACATTTTTGAGTATTCTTGCATTCCATAGTCACTGTTCATTTTCTGTTCAGAGAAAAACTTCTGGCTGGTATTGATGACTAGGAGTATTAAAAACATGCACTGCTGATACTAGCTTTCTCGCTTTTGGAATATATTTAGTAGGCAGTATACCTGGATGTCTAATTAATCAGTTGGTTTAACATAGATTGCTTATCTATTTACCAATGCAGGTTGGACAGCTGCCATGGCGGCACTCAATAATTTGCCAGAAGATTCAGCTGGTGAGTAAAAGCAGTGCTGAAGATCTAACTGCTAAACTAGTTCATTTGTTGGCTGCCTTTTCTTTTCGCTTTTAGTTTAATCATAATTCTATAAAATTTTGACGACAAACGCTTGTAAACAAACAGCCAACAATCAAAATTTTCTAAGGGTTGAGAAGAATTAAGGAGAGGAGAGAGAAAGGAGATAGAGAGAGAGAGAGAGAGAGAGAGAGAGAGAAGAGAAGTAGAGAGAGAGGGAGTGGAATAACGCTTGTACTCGATAGTCAAAGTAATACAATGCATAAACATCTTTATGTAGGGTTTCAACTTGTCTAATTTAAGCATGAAACTACTAAAAACGAAACAAATACTAGAGAATCTTTACAAATAAACCCTAATTATTTATCCTAAAATAAGTACCCGACTTGGCAAATCTTCAAAGTTATATTGTTAAGGATCCCCATCAGATTGTTTAGAAAGGTTTCCTTCTGTCATGGATATCATTGGACATGACCGTATATGCAGGAAAACTATATCTATCTTGTTTGAAGGTGTCGTCTTTTGTAATACAATTTCTTGTCACTTGAAACTATGCTAGGGGTGTACATTCTATATGTGGACATTCCACCTTTGTCGTACATATAGTATACTTAAGCATTTCTATGTTGTTCAAGCTGGTTGTGGGTTCCAATATATTGAACAGATAAAATTCATTCAAGCCAATTCAGTTCTCTCGGGAACAATCACCTTGGGAACTTTCCTGATTCTTTACTAAATTCCTTATGCAGTCTTATCCGGTGCGCATATCGCAACCTAAGGGTAAGCTTAATTTGGGAAAAAATATGAGTTCTCCTGCGTAACTTTTAGATTAAAAAATTGCATTCCATGGAACACTTAGATGAGTTGATTATAATAAAATCAAACTGCAAAACTTTGGAAGCTAATATATAAACTAATCAAAATTTGAAACAAGTTGTATGTACTGAAGTAAATCTTTTACTTGAAAGCAACTGTTTTATTGAATTATAAAGAAAATGATGCCAGTTTAACATTATCTATTTATTATCCATTTCATCAATCTCTCCTTTATTTCCCTCGAGAAGTTCTTTGGTTGCTAATCTGTTATTGACCTATTGACCTTAATCCATTCTTGTGAAATTTTTGACACGCACTATATTTGCAACAAGTTCTCCAAGTTTGTTTATATATACTTGTTTAACATCCAAACCTGGTTATAATTTTTAAACCCGGTTGACAATGTGTGCGGTACTGATATTCAGATACTAAAGAGTCAATGGTTAAGTGTAACATATAATTTTAGACTTTCTGGCCGTGAGTTAAAGAGCTATTTCTAATTTTTTGCTTGGAAATTTTTTCTGTTTCTAATGTTTTCTCGTTATGTTTTCCAGAAAGGCCTGTCTTGTATTCAAGAAAAATTTCACCTGCCTGGGGCCAAGCTGCCCTTCCACATTTGGTATGCTGACGTCTTATCCCCTCACTTGAGCCCTTCCCCACCCCACCCCACCCCCTCCTCGCCCCACTCCATCTCTGCTTCAAAAACAAAGAAGGGGAAAAGAAATGAAAATATGACCTCACATGTGATTTGGTTTTTGACATCTTCCCTGCAGCTAATGCAACAAGCAGGTGGGCCTTCTACTGGTTTGGAGAGCGACTTCTTGAGTGAACTCAGGCAGGCAATGCACAAAGCCAGTACTGGTCCCAAAGCCTAAACGGTGCTGCATCAACGTACTCATGTTTGGTCTTCAGAATCCTTCAAGGTGGATTAGATAATTTGTTGTATGCTCATCGAAACAGTTTCCCTGCTTGCTACTTATTTGATGTATAATTTATCTTTCGAGCTCAGAAGTTTCTGCAATATAACTGCTTCCATATGGTGTGTTTGTGTATTGATTATCATCTATGCTGTCCTAAAGTAGATAATATGTTAAAATTATGGAAATTAATGTAACTGCTATTATTCAACCCAAAAAAAAAAACCAACTTATTAATTATAATTCAGTCTGTTATAATGCTAATCACTCTATTAAGAATGTGATCAGCATATACATGGAGTTCTTTCACTACTATGAAGTGGTCTTTTGTTTAGGGTTAGATACTTCGATATATTAATTAATTCTAGTGAGTGCCCTTCTGCTTTTTGACTTCCTATGTAATAAATCACAAAGCAATTGCATTATACTCTACAATTGGGCACGAGCACTGAACCAACATACCATTGGCCAAGGACAGGTAAAAATTGTTGTCTGTCCCTGCTTCTTGGTGCAGTATTCCTAAATGCAATCCAGCAACTTCTAACGCAAACATTTTGGGGAGCACAATTCAGTTTTGTTAGGGCACTTGCAACATAGAGCAGGAACAATTCGTCTTTCCTCGTAACGAATTGTTAAATTCTTGTTAATTTCTTTGATTAAGTTTAATAATATGTTGGGATGGGTAGATGATGAGGGCGCGATGTAAATATAAACATATAGATGCATATGTCCCTTGATTTGAATTTCTAGGGATAGATGCATGCCATGCAAGAGGCGTCTTCGCCAAATATGTTTAGGAATGTTTTGATTTTCCTTGGTTGGACCAAAATGTCTTCGCCACCAAGAGGTGTCGATGTGTATGAAAAATGTGATTTTACAGGTACATATTGAAATATACAAGTATCTTTAATCTTCTTGACAATGAATTTGCCTTCTAGATTGAGATGGCCACCATTTGATTCATTCTTTTGATTCTTGTATAATACTATTTCAATATTTTCTAGTGCTATTCAATCTATTTTATTATGACCGTTTCAGAAGGCGAATGAACCACGCTATCGCGATAAATTTGTACTTTCTTTAATTTAGAGATATAAATATAAATAAATTGTGTGATTTTGGTCAATTATATGTAGGATGATCGGATAATCTACGACATATTTGTAGCAATGATGAAGAAAGGCAACGGCAAATTCTAGGAAACAACGCGATATCTTCGTTTCATAGATTTGCAGCGTCGAACAAAAGAGAAGACTTACAAATTCAATATACAATTTCCTCAAATTCTTCAATGGAAAGAAGGCCAACTGGTTTACAGAACTCTTAGAAACTATAAATTCAAGTGCTAATGGATATTTTTATAAATCCTAAATAATTGGAGAGGACACATGCTAGACTTTTTCTCTTCTTAAATATCACTCTAAATTGAGGTTAGCGAGGTGGTTTGATTGGTCGAACTAAGCCCCATTAGTTTACACTGCAATCAACTTAAAATAGATTGGACAACAACAATCAGCTATATTAAGAAACTCAACAACATTTACGTCATTTTATCTGTAAATGTATGTGCTAACATTAGGAACTGTGTAGCACAAGAACTAACATTTCAATTTTCTTCCTTTGTATGGACAATTTTTTTCTATATTTTTCTTTTAGGATTGATACGAAATACTAAAAATGGTTCATCTTGGCAAAATCATATGAACATTCCTAGTAATATGTCCAGTTCACTGTCCAAACACTGCACCATGGCATGGCAAGGTAAGGACGACGAACTCAACTGCATCCGAAAGTTCAGTTTCTTCAACTGGAGTTGGGGGCTTGCTGGGGTTAGGCGAACGATTTAGAACCTTGTCGCATAAATTTCTCAAAGCCTCAAGCAGCTTCCTCAGGCGTTTCTTTGCCCAGATTAAGGCTAGGGAGATACATGGGCACGGATATGTTTAGCCTCTCATTCAAGAGAGACTGGAAGAAGAACGTGCTGGTTTGAATGACTGCTAGTATGTTAATATTAGATTGAATCTTGTAATTGTTTGAGGTTGTATTGGTAAAATCTCTAATTCACGTAAGTATTCATATGCAGTTGTAACTCACCAGATGAGAATAAATAGGAGAATCTGATTTCCATAATTGTGAAGTTTTGCACGTATATAAAGAACAGAGAAGGAGAGGAATAACCAAAAAATTACGTCTGTTCAACTAAGGATCGAAAAGTAACTTGACAATTTGACGAAGGATTTAGTCAGGAGCCAGAGCTAGGGGTGGAATAAAAAAAATTGTACGATATAATGTGTGTAAGAATTTTTTTACCAGGTTGGGTTGGCCTGGACTATACCAATGTTTCAAACCTATTGTTTGGTTTGAAATTTTGAATCCCACTAATTTAATTACAGCAGAATATTGTTTTACAACCCAAAAATCTATATGGGAGTTTCTGATTCTGAAGTTTTAAAGTTTTCAGTCTTTCGAATTCTCTGAATCATATGCAGGTTGAACCTCAGCCAGTTCCTGAGACGAAATTCCACTCGTACGTATTCCAGCAGCAGAACCTTCAGTTGAACACCTTTGCGAGGAACCATCAGATGCAGTCCTCAACCGTTTCTTGTTCCTCACCTTCTCCGCCCAACCCAGAAGGCCAGTTCGCACATGGTCGTCAAATATCGACTTCTTGAAATGTGATCCCATCTTCGTTCCCCAGACAAAGATGGACACAGTTTTAAGGTAAATTTTTTTTTTTTATCAAGAACCAAATTAAGAAACATCAATAGTAGTTACCTGTGTAACGAGAGCATAGAGTGGTAGCGTGCTATAGCTGCAGAGCACCTGAATGAAAATACTGAACCGGCCACAGAGTCATCAGGAGGATGCATAAACAACTAAAAGCAATGAAATTACATTGGGAAAAACACCGTTTGTCCATCAACTCATAACGAAGTTCTAGTCACCGGATCTTTCTATCTTTCTAACATGAAACTCCGCTGTAAGTTCAGTGACTTACAGTGCTTTAACCCAATTCCAGAGCGCTAGCAGCAAGAGAACAAGAGCAATGGCAGAAAATGTAGAAAGGATTTACCCTATTAGAATCCTAGGAACAATATACTGGACTTGTCCCATTATGCAGGAGTTGAAACCATATTGAACCTATAAATAATGAAAAAAAAATTGTGGGTAAATTGACAGCAAATAGCTATTTATATCCTACGTCAAGGTTAAGACTCCACATACCCATATCCAAAAGAAGAACGCGATCTCAAAAGCATTTTGAAAGAGAATAAAATGAATCAAAAGAAGTATGACGTGAGGTCGATTGAACCAAAAGTGATCGTCAGAAGGTTGAACGACCAATTCACCCTCAATGGCTACATGTTTCTCGGCAACCTCGTGAGCCAATTGGGAAATCACATGCTCCAACTTCGTTCCCACAGCAAGTAGAAGCTGAAAAGATTACCACAAAATTTGTAATTATGGAAAGAAATAAGTCCATTTGTTGAAAAATGAGCCCTGCATTGAGATGGCATAAGTTGTATAAAAATCTTGAGTTCATAGGAATAAATTGCAGGGATACCTCTTAAGCATACCTTTACGTAACTTTTTGTTTCCAAATATATTTAGACAAGTTTACTTATTTCATGAGTATGATAGAGTGATATTTTCAACACAAGTACTTATTTCAACTTTGACAAACGTTAAAGTTAATTACTTTCAAAAGTTATTTATTCATTCAAATCTTTTAAGCTTAGTCAAAGATTCTGCAAACCCAACAGAAGATGAAGCGTTCGTTTGTGAAAAATTTATAAATGATTTAAATTATAAATCGATATAAAAGAGGGGTGGATAAATAGATAATACTTGTGAGTTTATTGGAATGTGTGGTTAAAAATGAAGTTTGGCCATTAATGCATAATTCATAGTTTTTGCCGAACAGAAACTAAGAAAACTGATGCATCCTTTTCACTTTCGAGAAAGTGGGCAAGAAAGGCTAACAAAACATATTATGCAAGTGACAATCGTGTTAACAATACTTACGACAAAAGGAATGAATGCCATCCAAAAATATGTATGCCAACCTGCACACAAGAAAAAATAATTTTTCACATAAACCTAAGTTATAATCTTGTAGTAGATGCAAATCAAAGCTAGAGGAAAATTATATTAAGAACTCGAATTCTCACAGGATGCAAACTGAATATGAAATCGAAAAGATCCATTGAGGGGATTACCATTTATATTCAACAACAAGAAGAGTATGAAAAATATCCACAAATACCAACTGCAGTAAATAAAAGAAGATATTAATCCATGCAATAAGTGGAATCACCATCCGAAAGTGAGGCTTTTGAGACAAGAACAACATCCTTTTCTATATAAAACGGATTTAGCAATAAGACCTAGTAGAAATGATCTCTAATCATGGTGGGTAGGATAAAACATGCCCACTGTTTACGTGGATGTTTGCGGTCAAGTCTACAATTTTTGACAATTCAACATTGAATTATCAAAAATTGTAGGCTTGATCATTGACATGGAAGATAATTTCTACCCACCAAGGGTAGGAGATCATTTCTATAAGACTTAACATTATTTAACACAAATGGTTGAATTGTCAAAAATTATAGGCTTGATCATTGACGTGTAAGATAATTCCTATCCACCATGGGTAGGAGATCATTTCTATAATACTTAGCATTATTTAACACAAATGGCTATCACATACCTTATACCAACTACTGTCTTAAAGTCAGCTTCTAGTGCCCGTATCATATACCTATGGAAGTTAAACTTTGGGTTTCCTCTACAATGTGTCTGTGTCAAGGTCAAATTCCTTGTTAGCCACTTACCACAAAAGAATAAAGCACATTTAAACTGGAGGAATGACGATATCTGAGAATATCAAGCTCTTACCATAATGAAACCTAGTCGGAGTGCTGAATAATCTGATTTTGTAACAGATCCATAAAATTGCTTAAAAAAAGATTGCTGAAAAAATAGCAAAAGGAAAATGAGAATTCGAACAACAACAACACTGTAAAAGACAACCTCGACCAGGCGATGATACTACAAGGCCATGTACACAATGTCATCCTCAATTTTTACCATGGTATGAAATCAAAATATTAGAGGCATAAGCACAGGAAAGGAAAGCTTAAACTATTAGAGGAATGACACCTTTATTTATTGAAATTGTGTCTTCAAAACCCCCTCGTGTTCAAATAAAAATGCAAATGGGAGGCAGTGAAATTTGAATTCGAGTCTTTTTCCTAACTCTATAATATGTTAACCACTTCATCTGAAAACTGAAGCTATTAGAAAGAGGAAAAATTCATTTATCTAATTTAGATCTTGAACATGAATCGATGACTAACGTCACCAAAACAATGATTTTAATCTTTGCAAAATCCAAGTATTTCTAGCATCTGGTAAATTTTTTTTTTCTATGTATTAGCCCAGTATAATTTTTATTTTTTTTGATCCCCTTGGCTCTGCCGCTGCTAGCATGATATTTTATATTCCAGGAATCAAGACAAAACTTACCAACCAACTCAACAGGGCTGAATGCTTTTCCACGCCCGAAAATCTCTTCTTGATGAAATCGTGTTGATGGACATGTGTGAAGCTTGGTTTCAGAGCTGCACATTATCATAAATGATTGGGATATACAAAATATGAACGTTAATCATCTCTTACAGAAAATATTGGAGATAATTTATAGTGAATAGAACACAAACTCCAGTTCTTAGTATAGGTCAAGACCCTTTCAGTACATAAAATAACATGACGATTAATAATCTTGTTCATTGTACTCTCACGATCTTCCCTTTTCATGCAAAAATTGTCAAGACAACATCTTAATTGAAATTGTCAATTCGTACCTGGTTCTGTATTACAACGATCTCTTGAAATAGAATCCTCCCAATGCTTCCATTGGTGAATCTACATCAAAATTCAACGTTAGCTATGAAATAGAAAGGAAAAATTGTATATACATGAAAGATTAAACAATTTAATCTCACCTTTGCCCCTCCAAATACAACAGTGAGAACAGACAATGTCACATGCACAACTGCTAGAACAAAGATAAAGGTGTGGAGATGATGCAATGATTCAAGAGACAATAGCGGGACTTTACCCTGCAGAAACATAAATTTGAGACTTACTTATATCTGTTCCACAAAATAGAACACAGAACGTTTTGAGGTTTCTGTATATGAAAAGGATGTCTTGGATTCTACCAAGTTCCTCCACATTTTGTTCTACATTAGTCAGTAAAATCACTTTCAAGTTTTGTTGGGCTCATGTTTTTGAAGAGTAATGCTACATGTACAAGGAGTTTTACAGAATGCCACAAGGCAACATTTTATTGGATTTTGGGTAAAAACATAGTTAAAACAGCTAATCAGGTGCTGCCATCTTATCACCTGTAAAACTCCCAGTGCATTTCCCCCGTACAAGTATCATTTCTGGTTTTTGAATAGCATTCACACTAGATTCTCATCACGAATGTTATCTTAGCTTCTTTTCTTTATGCTAGCCAAAGTCATTCCTTTGTTTTCCGATATGCCACCAGTACCCAGCCTCATTTTCTCATACTAAAAAAACTATACAAGAAGGAGTGTCTTTCTTTAATTTTGAGTACTGGAATACTAAAGCATTGTTTCTAGAAAACCTGGGATGCTAGATCGGTGAACAGTACACGTTCGATCCTTGATCCACACAAAACTGATACCTTGCAGTGTCCAAGATCCCTAAGCACTTTGTTAGAAAAAAAAAATTCTAATTCCAAAATGGATAGTGATGCAAGTTCACAGCTACTCGTATCTGAATTAAGCACGAGTAAAACTATAAAAGTACCATTGATATGAACACTGATTATGATAATAAACCCTCATTCTCAATAGTAATAAATAGATATTCAAAATCATGAAAAGTAACACGATTTTAAGTGGAATAGAATCTCTCCCTAATTGTTGGGAGATAAAACGTCAAAATTCACTCCTCATGACCCAAAGAGAAGTGGAAAAAAGGAAAAAAGAAAAAAAAGACTAATTTCATTACCTTAGCTTTACAATAATCTTCACTATCTTCAGCAAGCAAGCGCCGCTTATGCAACATCGAATTAGGAATAATTTTAAGGGATTCTTCTCCACCAGATGATGAAGCAACGGATGGCAATGAGCAAGGAAGTAAATGTTTCATTGTATCATCAGGCACACAAAGCTTTACTATACGGGCTTGAAACGCAGTCAGCAAAAGTGATATAAATCCCAACAGCATCAACTCTAAATTTACCAAAAATCATCATCATGGAAAATGAAAAATGCAAAACACCTATTTACATGTGCTCAAGTGTTGGTACTGCCCATTTACGAAAATTAATGAAAATTATTCCTTGTAGGCTTTTGATTACAAATAGTCATCTCTAACAGCTTAGATTTTCAGACGAGATGGTTAACGGTATCCAAAACCTAATTTGACATACAATAGAGAGCAAGTTCTTTCGTGCAAGAGAAATCTCAGAGAGAGGAAGAAGAGGTACCTTCTTTAACTTTTTGTAAAGCCTCATAGAGGGGCTTTTGATTCTTCTTCTTTAAATACTGCATGAATTATAAAACATGAAATTTTAGCATCAGTTATAAAACAAACACAGGGCATTAATAAATTCAATAATTTTTTTTTTTTTTTTAAGATTTAACCCCAATAAAGCATGTCGAAGACTAAGTTTAATAATAAATTCGTTTATTGCCTAATATCTTAGTCTCGTTGTCAACCATTTATGAAGATTTTGCACGTCCAGCACCTTGATTAAAATGAATTCTTTTTGCACACAATCCGCAAAAAGACACGTAAAAATGCAAGTAAATTCTTCGTCCTTTCTCTTGTTCATTCAAATTCATATTGGAACATTAAAAATGAAAGAAAACCAGTCTTTTAAAAATGTTATACGTAACATATATAAACAGAATTATAAAGAAGGGGAAAGAGAAATAACGAAGGGCCACCTCGCCGGTAAAGTGGAGGGAGCGTTCGACGGCGAGAGAGATGCCAACGATGACAGTGCAGACGGCGGCAACCACCCATGTTGGAGTGAACTCCAATGTCGTTCCTTCTTCTTGCTCACCAGCCATTATTTCTTTTCCTTAAATTCAGAAATGGAAATCTAAATAGGAATCGTCATATACAATGAAGAAAAACTAAAATGAAAAAATGTGAATCCGGGATTTCTTGTTTCAAAAGATGGAACAAACCCCGGTGGAGATGGGGAGGAGGAGGTGGTGGGAGATAAAAGAAGTAAGAAAATATACAATAGATTAATGTTCGGTCTGAAAAATGGGAAATGTAGGAGATTAGGATTGAAGGTGTCCCGATATTTGAAGCGTCTGACAACTATGTATAGACATTAATGCTGCACCATGCTTGAAATTAGCGAGTCCTGGGTGACAGTGCATGGAGGATTCGAGGTTCAACTCGTCAAGATGAAATCCATATTCAGCTGAGTTCGTCTAAATACGGGTCCGAGCCGACACTGGTCCAAGCCGACGAGTGGCTCTACCGATAGCGATGTCAACGAGCCAAACCCAGGCCCAGAAAAAAAAAGCTCGAGTCGAGTTCAAGTTTTTTTGGACCGAGCCGAGCCTGACCAAAAAAAATGAAGCTCGGCCCCGAGCCGGCTCGAATTTTTTGTTTTTTTTTCTTAGCTGCCTAAAAATAGCTGCCTGCAAAGGTAGCTGCTGCAGGCTGCCTGCCTGTTGTAGTCAGCTTGCTAGCTGCCTCCAACAGGCAGCTCGCAAGCTACCTTCAATTTTATTTTATTTTTTTTAATAGGAGGCTCGCCCGGGCTCGAGCCGACTCCCTAAAGTGGGGCTCGGCCTGAGCTTGGGCCCGGCTCAAACTATTTTCGAGCCGAACCCGAGCCGTTCGAGCCTCCGAGCTTTTTTGCCACCGCTAAGTGGCTCCAAACCATTACCACTTTTTGAGTTCGAACAAAAATTTTAGGGGTTGTTCTCTTTGTATTTCAGTTTTGTATTTTGAGTTTTGAATTTATTTTGAATTTTGTGTTTTGAGTGTTCATTTTGAAATTGGTGAAAATTTGTTTTGAAAATACTCAAAACTCATTTTCTCCTCGACCGCCTTATGGTTGAAACTTGAAATTAATATATTTATAGATTATAATCTAGCCAGAGCACAGTTATTTCTCTCGAAAAATTTAAGGGGTTGTTCTCTTTGTATTTCAGTTTTGTATTTTGAGTTTTGAATTTATTTTGAATTTTGTGTTTTGAGTGTTCATTTTGAAATTGGTGAAAATTTGTTTTGAAAATACTCAAAACTCATTTTGAAAATTTTGGCTTGATTATAACTAAAAACACCAAAAACGGCAAATTTATCGTTTTGTGTTTTTTTTTTTGTAAATTTTTAACTTATTTTCAAAAACGCGTTTTCGAAAATTGGAAAGAGAACACGTTTTCACTGTTTTGGAAAATTGAAAACAGAAAACGACTTGAAAATGGTAAGAAAAACAGACTCTTAATACTTTTGAGAGCATGAGTATCCAATATTTCTTATTGAGATTGTTCTATTTGATTTTGTATTGTAATTAATTTTTTTAATATTTACAATAATATAAAATTAATTCAATTAATACATGTTCAATTTTAACTCTACAACGACACTGCATTAACTTTTACAAAATAACGTAGTCCAATTTAAAAATCTACAAATAATAATAAACATTTTGAACAATAGTTATAAATTATAATGTTTATATATTGAAGCATGAGAAATTATTAGAATGGAAGATAGTTGCCAAGAGAAAGGAAAACATAAAAATGCACGGGCTCATAATAAATATCTTGAACACTAGGTATAAATAATAATGCTTATTTGAAGCGTGAGAAATTATTATAAATGGAATGAGATTTAGCTTATATTGATCAAAGTGGAGGAAATTCAATAAATATGGTAGAAAATGGATAAGGTGAAAAGAGACACCACCACTCAACTTCGATTATTTGAGAAACAGCAGAATGATTGGGAAAAATTTAGGTTACTCAATTTTCATTCTTTGAAATTTGAATTACAAAGCTGGGTTTGGGCTAAAAATATGAAAATGATATTTTGGCTCAATTAATTAGTTGACAAATTTATTTAAAAAAATTATAATAATTTGACTTATTCAGAGCCTATTTGAGCCCCATTTTTTTGCAAAAAAAATAAAAAATAAAAATTGGAACAATGATTTGATGGAAAATGTGTGACTTAAGGAAAAAATTTGGATTTGAGTGTAAAATTATTTTATTGAAGAATGTGTGGTTGAATATAAGAGAGACAAAAATATATTTAAAAATAATGGGGACCAAACTAGGACTTAATATAAAAAAAAACTAAAATAGGGAAATTACGAAGATCTCTACGTACTTGTCCAGTCCAGGACAAGTGAGATCTTCTGGTCTGCGTGCGTGGGAACAACTCGAACAAAGAAGAGCCTGGTTCGGTACTGGATTCAGGCACGGCCAGCTCGTCTGCTGCTAGGTCCTGGAATGGCGCCAGGTGAGGGCACCGCTATACCCCTTAATGAATCGAATGGTCCTTCGATCGTCGTTTGATTCTGACGGTCGACATAGATCTCATGAGACCCGCCCACTATTACAACGAAACAAGCCCTGCCCTTTTCCTTCGCTACTAGGAAAGTTAGCAACTTCATGAGACCCGCCCACTATTACTAAGAAAAAAGCCCCGTCTTTTTCCTTCGCTACTAGGAAAGTAAGCTACATCTATTAGCGCCGGATTAGAATAACGGGAGTTCGCTGGGATTGTAGTGAATTTCCTTTCCTAGAAGTGTTGATTCGAGTCCAACTCGTGACAAGGTCTTGTGCATATAGATGTCTCGACGCCTCTATTTTCTCGTTAGACAGAGCTACAGGACGAGAGCTAAGCTTGCCAGCCGCCAATCAAGCCAATGCAACATCCTTATTCCTTCCCGATGTCACTTCCTTTTATTTGAATTAATGTGCAACGAAGGCGCGTGCAAGAGAAAAGAAAGCCTCTATTTGGGCATGAGCTCTAGTACATTGTCCTCTCGCAGACCTGAAACTCCAGATTTTGGCTATTGAAAAATCAAATCATAGAAACGAACAAAGTCATATATATAAATTCTCAATCGTTCAATGAAGAATTGGGGATCCTCTCTACCATTAAAATTAGTTGATAGAGTTCAGAATTTGCTCGCAGGGTGGCCCAATCACTAATAGATCTCTCAACGAGAGCTTCATTCTATTCTGTCTAAAGGAAATTGCTTTAGTGGATTCGATTCACTCATTATAAGAGATAGGAACGCACAAGCATAGGGAAGAGAATATTACCTTCTGACAAGGGATTGGCTAAGATTTGAGATTTGCTTTTGTCTCTCCCATTTCAGTGACCAAAAACACTTTGACTTATTCGACTAGTTCTTTGTCTAGAATGTTGTCGTGAAGCTTTGGTTAGGCCGACTACTATAGGCTAGGTCTAGCTACTAACCGAGAACCGAACCGAACATGTGTGATTCGATTCGATTCGATTCGAGAGTTTTATTCAACACTATTTCTTATAGCTATTTAATTGGCATTGCATTAAATAATTAAGACTCTATATTTCGCCTTTGTTTGTGCTCTATTAAAAATGCATTAAAAAAATTACACTTTTGAATAGTAATATTTTGAAAAATGTGTAACAAAAAAATAAGGAATAATTTTGGATTTATATGTAATATATATATATATATATATATCTTAAGAATAAGTGGTTAAAAATAAGAAAAATATTGAATACTCCATGATGCTATAAAAATTTACACGTATGAATACTCGAGCTTGACGACTGGGAATGAGTATGAACAGGACTTCCGTAACTCGAACTTGATGACAAAGTTTGAGTAATAATAGAATTTTCGTAAACCGAGCCTGATAACAAAGCTTGAGCTTTCAACACCCAATCTCGATGACAAATTTTGAACACTGATGGACCTCCAGAACTTGAAATAAAAGCGTCATTGTGTGCCTCGTCTTCCTTTCAATACTTGAGTTAGCGAAATGGGAAATATAATCATGAAACTTTAGATTAGATCAATGTAAAACGTACTTGAATAATGAACGGGAGTTTGTATTTATAGAGCTAAACAGTGCAATCTTGATAGGATTTGGTCACTTGGATGCATTACTTGTTTAAGAGTCTTAAGGGACATGAGAGTCCTGTAAAAGTCAGAGATAAGAGTTTTATTGAAATTGTAGGACTATTGTAGTGGAGTCCTTCTAGGATAGGAGACTCAAGAGGGAGAAATAGACAATAATAAGTTGTTTCGAAACGTGGCATGCTCAAGCATCCAACCCTACGTCATGAAGCTCGGGAGAATCAACACATCGGTGGGCGAAGTTGAACCTAAGGATGTTCTTGTCCAAGAGAGTGCTCGAACTTATCATTACCTCGAGCACAAGGTTTAGCCTAACTCGATGATGATTTGGTCCAAGGAGAGTGCTTGAGGTTGTGGTGAGGTCGAGACATACATTAATTGACACATCTGTAACCCCCATGCATCCATATTCGAGGAACAAGGATGAACTATAGATTGCTCGAGTGTACACTAAGCTGCTCGAGGTTGATTGTAAATTGATTGAGGTAAAATTAAAGGTTGCTTGAGGTGGAGGTGGAGGTGAAGTTTTCATGCTCGAGCGAACACATTGTATACTTAGGTTTCTGAGGCTTACATGGGACGATGGATGAGGTGCTTGAGTGTGACAAGGCTTAAGGAAGCTTGAGGTGCTTACTTGCGCAAGGTATGAGATGCTTGTGTGGGTTAAGGCTTAAGGTGTTTGCTCGGGGTTAGGTTCGAGATGTTTGCTCGGGTCAAGGCTTGAGGTACTTGTGTGGGGCAAGACTTAAAGTGCTTGTTTGGAATAAGGCTTAATTTGAACGCTCATTTTTTCTTTTTTTAATAAAAAAATTGAAAATCACATTTTCATATAATGAGTACGTGACTTCCAAAAAATATGGCGAGCCAAAATATTCTATTTTGTCAAAATAATTTATTAAAAGATTTAAAATGTTGTAAAAACCTTCATCTTTTATTATGGCTATGGAACAACTAATAATTTGT